ATCAAAAAGAGGCAATAAACAAGAGCAACCTCTGCTCTTTTATTGGTGGAGCTCCTGCGCTCGGGGGGAACCCTCAGCACTCAGACTCAATCAATAGAATCGCTGCGCTCTACAGCCACGCGCTCGCCTCTTCCGGCCCCCCGTCAGAGGTGGAGCTTCACACAAACACAGAGATGGTGCTCCAACAAACAGATACACCTTTTCCAGCAAGCCCTTGTTCTGACCAGCCATGCGTCAATGACAGGAAGGGTGATTTCCACCCCCGCAGCAATCAATTAATACAACCGTTGGAGAATTCTGGTGGTAATGGGAAAAAGATAGGAGGAAGGGGGGGGGAGGCAGTGTGAGCGAGGGACCTGATCAAAGGAAAAACTGGTTGAGTGCCGAGCGCAATAATAAGGGCTCTTGTTGTTGGAAACGAAGTGAATTAATTTATTCCGAGGCTGACGTTGTTATTGTTGCTGCGTTTGTTTAATCGGAGGTGTCTTTGTGAAGTGAAGGTTTAAAGCTGACAGCTATGCATATGCCGGACCCCTAATTTCCCCGACCCCGGGTTGCTGCAGAGTGATGCGTCTTCTAAGAGAACCTGAGAGGAAGCAGAGTGTGTTACAGCTTTGCAAAATCTCAAGAGCTCTTCTCTCTTTCAGCTAAATGACATTTGCTGTTATTATGATGCCAGTAGGTAAGATTGATCTGTGCTGATGTAATCTCTCAGTGCCTGAGTGCCTGGGTGGATGAGATCTGCCTCAGATTGATGAGGTCTAATGGAGTCTTATTTGGTGGTCTTGATACTTTTAAGATCCAATGATACTGGCGCACCACTGCATTTTAATTCTGCTTCATTTAGTAAGAGCATATTACTTATCCCCTCTTGTTCCTCGTTGATTTGTGATTTTCCTTTCTTTCACTTACGGCTGTGTTATGTTTCAGCATGTCTGAAGCTATATGAAGATCACATAAAGACACAGGAATGTGCATAATGTGTGATGCAAATCATCCCCAGGGCTCTGGTGCTCATGGTGGATCTTTGTTGGGAGTTTAATCAATCAGCCACAGAGCCTTAATTAATCGGCATGATGAACAGAAGAAATAATTGGTTTTCTGCCAGATGTGAATTCGGTGCAAACTAATGCCAGCCAATCAGGATCCAATTTATAATCACAAATCTGATCTTGACGACGACACATTGAAAGGATCAGAGACGGATAAACTCACAAGACAATGGAAGTAATATGGATTTCGATTTGAAGTTTCGATATGGGACATTTGCTTCTGTATATTGTACAGAGATATTTGAGATGCCTAATTGGATCTATATAGTCTTAAAATCATAATCAGTCACATTGACTGAACAGCAAAGTATATGAGTTGGAATGTACGTTCTTTTTGTGAAAAAAAACATTGCTAATTAATTTGCAGGAGAATAAATAATTGGCCTCCTCCCCAGATGTTTATGAATGAATCTGCAGAAAACTAATGAGGGATGTCTGGGTTCCATTGAAGCAGCAGATGCCATTAACTGCAGCCCACACAGACAATGCTGATCTGTCCCCATTCCAATCAGACCAGGTAACCAGTGGCTGAAAGAAATGGAAAGGCACTGGAGCCAGTAAATAGCCACGGCAGAGATTGAAAACCACTGGTTTAGACCGGTGCCAGTAGAGCCAAATGGAAAAATAGCTTAGGCCTCTTATTAATGTCACAGTGGCTAGGCGGTAATTCCCCCAGGCTCTGTGTACCTCGGCGTGTTAATGAGTCACTGCTTATCAGTCATCCTTGTTAACAGGCAGAGGCCTCCCATCCAAACCGCCTACTGCTATTGTGTGTTAGCCGCAGAGTGTATTAGCCAAATGTTCCCGGATCTTGGCACACAGGAAGTAAACAGTAAACAACAGCAGCACACACAGGAAGTGGGCATCGAGCCAGCGAGAAAAGAGCTGGTCCAGTGGGGAAGGAACCCATTTTGTGGGAGGATAAAGTGAACCGCTGGCAAAGGACGCACACATGCGGAGAGCTCCCGCCTGTAAATCTTACCACACTAACGATTGGTCCACACTGCTCCCGTCCTTTAATCCTCATCCATTATCGGCCTCAGCTGGAGGCATCGGGCTTCATTCACTTGCTTCGACCAGCAGAACTCCTCGAGGTAAATAAACTATTAGCTGTGTTTTCCTGTCACAAATGCAAACACTCTGCTGGGGTCTGGGATCAGGCAGCCGTGGATTTGAGGGCCAGGTGGCTGATGGGAGGCCACAGCACGCAGCTCTGCTCACTGTCTGTGGAGTGGTCGGGCTGTCGGACCCTCCACACTCCACAGCAGCCTGAGGTAACTGGGTCAGCAGTACAGAACCGGGGCACAGTCGGCCAATTGCATGCCTAATCTGTGCCCTTCTGAGAGGCACTTTCCATCCGCAGCGCATGGCTGCACATCCAGCTGTGGAAATGGATATGTCAAATGGCGCGCAATTAGTGTCTCCCCCGATTCGTTACCTCGCTCTAAGGAAGCCTGGTCACAGATGATTCCGGAATAAAAATGACATTTAATGCTGTCCTTTCCCTGACTTTGACATACATCAAATGAAGATGGGTCAGTGGCAGAAGGAGAGTTCAGAGGGTTGGGGGGAAATGTAAGCGGTCACGACATGCAGCCTGTTGGTTACTGAATAATAATCAACCCTATAACTCATGGTGGAGCTCCTTTTCTCTCTTCCGCTCTCTGAATGATGAAAAGGGACACACAGTCCACATGCTTTTAATTCACAGTGCATCCTGTATGGAAGTGACGGGCAGTCCTGCACTCTGATTGCTCATGTGCTCTCGCATTGATTTGCTGAGCTAATCGTTTTTTCCTCTCTAATACATAACATTGAATTATTTATGCTAAGTGTACCCTTCTGTTTCAGGGCCTCTTAGCATGGAGATCTCCATTATGACGGCATTATCTGCACACCCCGCCCTACTTTGATTTCTACATAACAGCTCGGCTGCTGTGCCACAACAAGACCAATCAGCCTGATCGAAGCAGATGTGAGCGATGGATCAGTAATCTCCAGCTTACGCACTCTCTCCTCTGAAGCTGCCACAACACTGTTTACCACATTGTTTAGGAGAGCCAGCACAAAGCATATACATATGTTATATATACACAAACACATGCATATATACAATCTGTGATCTCCTGAATTCACTGCCCGAAAAGTTTTGTTTCAGTGAAGTTAATGTAATTATCTGATTGCTTTGATTAATGATACAAATACAACAACTTGCATATCACAGTGAAACTGAGATAACCCTGCACTGCGTACCTGCTTGTATTCTACTCTCAATTTCACTCTTTGGCGTGTTTTCTCATCTCCTAAACACTGTCAGACGTCCCAGGCGTAATTACTCTCCTTGACTGACATGATAATGTAAAACAGCTCTTAGGTGAAACTAAAGCAGGAATTGGTCATGCATGGTCAGGCCTCCCACCAGGCACACCTTAATCAAATGTGACGGGAGTCTGAACGCTAGCCAAAATCGTTTTTCGGACCCAAATAACGCACCGCTGCCTGAGTTTGAAAGAAATCTACACGGTTGGGGTCATCACTCTGACGAGAGATTGATATTTCATCATCAGCACCTCAATCTGGAGATTGTTTGTGCATTTCTCATCTTCAACAGCTAGCAGGAGCCCTGACAGGCCTCCATTTGCATTTGTTTAGCACTGACCTCAACCCAGCATCTAAACTCAGGCAGATATTTTCTCACTTCCTATTGCACTGACCACTGTGAGCTCACACTGACAAGCCTCCACCCACCCACCCACACTTCGTACATAAACTTGCAGAAACACAATTATGCATAATTCAAGAGAAAAAAAACAGCTGATGCGGCTAAATAAAGAGGAAGTACAGTAAATGCGGTGCGTGAACTCGCATATCTGTATGCATACACGTGTAAACAGTGCATGTGCCCAGGCGTGAGCAGGCATTGTGCACACACAAGATTATTCAGATTCGTGTGTGGGTGTGCTTAAGTGAATGCAAGGGACCTCTGAGGATGTATATTGCAAATGCAAATCAGGGGCATCTATTAAGACTCCTTCTTGCCTGCTATATCTTCTTACGGTTATTTGCCAAACACTTGCGCAATTAAATCCTTGACTGTCATGAGAAAATGCCAACAGCTTTCTACCTGAGTCGATCAATTATCTATGGATTGAGGGACAACCATGATGTGCCTGTTCGCCATCGGCAAAATGTGCCCTCTAAAGGTAGAATTACCGTCAGCCAGTCATCTGAGTGTTATGTAATTGGAAAAGCACATTTAACAGTGTATTCCTGTTCACTGGGTACTCACAGCAGGGATGATATCATTACAGAGTGCTTCTCTCATCAAATCCTCTCTTACCATGCGCTCCCAGTCGCACCCAGCTCATCAAATGGTGAGCGACAGCCACTGCGAGGGACATGTGTCTTTACTTTGTGTCTGTGTGCGTACGTGTGTTGCTATTTGAGGAAGTACAAGATGATTACTGCTCATCCCCATGTAGTGTGAACCTCTGACACAGATACAGTCCACACACATGTTAGAACGACGAGACGCTGAGGCAGGGAACTTGAAAAGGAGGATGCGAGAGGGACTTGCGCGAGTGAGTGCCTGCTGTCAGGGAGGGAGAAAGAGGAAAATAGAAGGATGTCATGGGGAAAGTAAGCTCACTAAGGACCTGCAGTGTGCATGTGTGTGTGGGGCTCTGCGACCTCGTGCAAGTCACACACATTCCTCAAAAACAAACGGCAGAAATTCCACCGGGGTCCTGGGAGGTGGGAGTGTCCCATGTGCTTATTAACGCCTCTGTGATTCCCTTGTCATCATACAGGAAACAACAAAAAAAACTCAAGTCAACAGATAAGGGGCACCAACCGGAGACAGAAAGAGAGGGTCGGGGAGGTCAGGGGCCCCGGGGACACGCAGACAGATACAGAGAATAGAAAGCAGTCAGATAAAGAGGTGCTTACCATCGATAATGTTGCTGTGGACCGCAGCTGCGAATAGTACTGTCAATAAGCTGACACTCCACAATGTGGAGGGGGCTGATGGGAAGGCCATGGTCCGCCTGTCTCTTTGAATCCTCAGGAGGGCCGAGGAGCTCTGGATCACCTGCAGGCAGAGCAGTGGAGAGATAAGGAAAACAAGCAGGGCAAAGCCTACCGGCCACTAATTGCGTCCCCTGCCATTGGCTGGCTGCTGCTGAATAAACGCTTGGCCCACCCGCTGCTCACGCGTTGCTCCATGGGTTTTCATCGATCTGCTTGTGTCATAGCATACGGAGAGGAGATTGAGAGGGACGGGTGCACGAGGAGGGGGGGAGGTGATAGAAACCATACAGTAGAAAGGATAATGTATATGTACTGCTTTAGAATTATTATTATTATTATTATTACTGGCTGCTATCTCTTAGTTGACGATTCAACTGCTGGAATAAATCTGTAAATAACTGTGCAGTACATACTTCTACTTGTACTACTATCAGCTGGCTGCTATCACAATACTTCAGCATGCTACACTTATTTAAACACTGTTACTTTTTGTTTTCCACCTGGATGTGTATTCTTGTAAATTGGCATTTGAGTGCCTTTGATATTTCATGCCTGCCTCTTAATTAATATTTGGCTATTTTTGGCTTTTCGCTTTGGCTGTAACATTGTGCATTCCCCCTCTGTGGGAGGAATACAATCATTCTGATGGTGGTGGTGCATCTGTGGTAATGAGGGGAGACAAGGCAGGGGTTGATATTACTGTGAATGTATTAATTCACTTTAACAAGCTGTGCGCATATGGAGGGAAGGAAACGAGTGTTTTTTGGACAGCCCTCTAGCCAGCTCAAACTATTTCATGCTAATTGGACATTGCAACAAACGTGCTTTTGAAAATAAACAGAGAAAATGAAAGGAAAAAACAACAGCAGAGATGCACCTGTCGCCCGCTGAGAATACATGGACACTGGAGACGGACATACGTGCATAATAGAAGCTCATATTCTCTCTCTCTCTCTCTCTCTCTCTCTCTCTCTCTCTCTCTCTCTCTCTCTCTCTCTCTCTCTCTCTCTCTCTCTCTCTCTCTCTCTCTCTCTCTCTCTCGCTCAAACACACACACTCCCTCTTTTCCTCTCACGCACATTCCTTAAAATAGCAGTGGCCCTGCTCCGAGGTAAAGCTCTCGGTCCATCTGTGAAACGCTCCCTCATTGCCAACGCGGAGAGGAGAAGCGCGCAGGAGTGTGTGTTGCCTGCGGGACGGGCGGGAGGTTAGGGCGGGGATAGAGTGGGGTGGAGGAGAGGAGGGTGTGGGTGAGGGGGGAGGGGGGGGGGGGGGGGGCATGTGATGGGATGGGATGTGGGGATTGGGAGGGGTTGGGGGTTCTGTGTTTATTGTTGCCCAAGCCCTTTTTTTCTGTTGGCGAGAAATGAAAACAAAACTAGAACAAGTGCATCCATGGGAAATAAGCCGGACACTCTGGGCGTGATTCAGCCCCTAAAAGACAAGTTGCTGATAGCGATGATGATGATGATGATGATGATGATATTAACAATAATAACATATCGTGGTTGCCTGCATCGCTGCGACGGACAACAGGAGCACCAGAGCAATGTTTCCATACACCTTCACTGGCAGGGATATCTGGTGCTGATGGGATGAGGTTTACAGACTCTGAGGCTGCTCCACAAAGCGCAGGCAGTTGAGGTTTTGCAGAGAGACGAAGCCACAGTGCAGAGGGAAGGGAGACCACGCGCAACACGCATATTCAGAGTAAATTATAAAACACGGAGGGGGGATTATACAGCTCTCTCCCTGGGCAGGCATACCGGATTACACACAAACACACAGCCACCTACCCAGAGTGCGAACACAGACACATTCCTGGAGACGGGAAAGCGTCAGGTGTCTCCTGTCCGCCCTGCAGACTTACACCCTAAACCCAGAACAACAATACAAACTGCGAAGAAGAAGAAGAAGCAATGCTCGGTAATAACCACACACACCGTTATATTCCGCCTCCGGTTCGTTAGCGCTGGTCTCCAATACGGTCCCCGGTTTAAGGTCCCTGCTTTGATGCGCAGCTCGTCCGGAGCCTTCTCTCAATCTGTTTTTAATCGACTTTTCTTTATCTCCTGACTCTTTGTTTTTCTTGCTTTTCCTCCTCACTGTGTGTGTGTGTGTGTCTCTCTCCACGGCTGCCGTTCACTGCAGCAAAAACAGTCTGTCTGAAAGACGAGAGGGAGGGGAGGGGACAAGGGAGGGAGGGAGGGAGGGAGGGAGAGAGGGGGGTGATTTTAATACGATTTGGCCCGTACCATCGGGATAACAGGGCCAGAGCAGGGACCTGCAACAAACACGATGGAGATGGAGCAGATAGACATGTGTGATCTCACCATAGCGAGAAATAACCATAGTGTTTCCCATAATACTCCACAGTGAGTCTGCACTGACCTTATCGCATTTTATTATCTCCTGTGGTGGCACATTACTTTAGGATTCCCCGGGGGTAGCTCTGCTCACTTTATCTGGAGGTTTTATATGGAGTAGGTCTCCTATCCTTCTTCACTTTTATCAAAAGTTCAGCCCTACACATCTCCTTAATTAAGAGGTCATCTGGAGTTGATCGTCACAGTTCCCATTTCTTATCATTGATATTATGGAGCTATTACGCATATCTTGGAAATGGACCCATTGCTGTTTCCTTGATAATTTGCATTATGGTAATAATGGTATTACAGAGTCCTTGGTCTTGTTGGACTTTTACTGTGTCTTTGTATCTTCCTTTCAATACTGTTGTTCATCTGTGACTGTATTATGACTTTGTATTTCTTATCAACTCCAGAATTTGTATAATATCCGATAACGTTTGAAGGACTGGACACATTTGCATAGGAACTTTATCATCTGGTAGTCTTCTGACGTTTTATTATGCATCATGACCGTTTGGGACTCAGGAACCTAAGGAGGGAGGGAGGGAGGGGTTGTTCAACTTGCCAGAGAGGATTAGGGATTAGTTTTACTGGTGGATTAGGTCCGTGTGTGGGGAGGCATGATGGGGTTAAACATGGATGGCGCACGACAGCCCAATCAGTGGTGACAAACTGAAACTAAGGGAGGTGGGTTTGAAGAAAAATACAAAATAATAAAAGCCATGGGGGGCCTGGAGGGGTGAGAGCAGGGGCGTTTGTGAGATCTTCAAAAAAAAAAAAGCAGCTGCTATACCCCAAGAAAAAAAATAAAAGGGCGAGTGCTGCTTTGGGCTTCCAATATTTGGGTTTTTCTCATGCAGAAACTAAAGTCCACCTTCGGGGGTCCTTGAATGGATTCCAGAAAGGTCCCCAGTCTGATTTCACTAAATTAAAAACACACAATTCTTATTCCACACTTGTATCACCACGTTGTCGTTATAGTCTATAATTCAATACAAAAAATGCATACAATAATGTTAAAGCGACACCATTTTCTCGCACTGAGTCTTTTGTGTTTAAAGTCCTTTCTGTAAAGCAATCAGGAGAGTAGTAACGCAGCATATAGCATACTTAAACACTTGTTATTGTTGTTGTTGCTCTGCATTAAAAAAGCTCCTGCTCTGGTTTAACGAGTGGACAGCCACAGGTGCTGAAACCGTGTCCACTGACTTTCACACGAGGTGTCCTGCGGTGCATCCGCGTGATGTCCAGAGCTATGAGACCGGAGCCAGAGCCTGCAGCCCGGACAGCTACAGGCTGGAAACGAAGACCCTACTGCGCCTTGTATTCAGTCTCTTTGCCCTTTGAGATGTGCATATTAAATCGCTGACCTTTGAGTGCTGAAAAGCCTCAACAATTCAGTCAAGATGCATTGCTTTTGGCCTCTGCATATTTATTTGTCCGTTATATCTGTATTCAGAGAAGCAAGGATTCATTGTGGCTGCAAAACCAACCAAACGATATATTTTTCCATCACTCATTCAAAAAGCTGGAACACTTTCCTCATCATCATCTCTGCCGGGACTCGAACCCGGAGCCTCTGGATTAGAAGTCCAGCGCGCTATTCCATTGCGCCACAGAGACTGTGCCGTATTTTTTTCGATCAAAAATGTGTTTATACTCCCCCCTCCCAGCCCTGTGCAGCATCCTCAGCATCCCTCAGCATCAGGACCGCAGCCCCGGAGATATATTCCCGGCCGGTAGGGGGTGCTGTAGGCGCGCTCTCATTAAGTCTCATGCCTCATAGAGAAAGCAAAAGCCCCTGGTTTCCATCCCCCATTGTTTTCACACAGGTTATCTCATCAAAACATCCTAATGGTGATATTGTCAGAGCAAAACCAAACGACGGAACATCTCTCATTGTAAATGCATCAATAAGTATGAGGCGATGTGCTCACGCCTTGCAGGGAATAGCTCCAGTGAACAGCCCATGTTTTTATTACCTCTCTTTTAAAATGGGAAATATGTCTACAGGGTTTGGTGTGAACAGACTACTGTATAAGCAAATCAATTCTTAAACCCCGCTGAGTTTGAGCAATTTCCCTGTCATTCACAATGGGAAATTGCAGTCTGATGGATCTCTAGCTCAGATGGAAATGTGCTTATAACATGGATTAGACTCAATGTAGTCTCGAAGCCAAGAATATCTGCACTCAGGCAAAAAGTCTCAAACAGAGAGCTATTCTGCAAGGGACGTGTTTGCCAATTAGTTTAAGAAGGAACCCGGTAATAGAGATGTTTGTCAAGAGCTGATTTGGCTCCGAGGAGAATATCACACCTTCAAAAAGGAACAAATTAACTCATGTTTTATAACACCGAGAGTTACTGCAGACAGTTTGCCGAGTCCTTTAAAGTTTCATCACATGTGGCTGACAAATAAATGTAATCAACAGCAAAGTGAAAAGAGATCCAAGCTTCCGAGATGTTTTCCCTCCGAGCCTTCAGTAACAAATTGATAAACCATTTATTTTGAAGCTAACCAGACTAAGTTGTCGTGTGGTTTCTCAGAGCAGGTCCTGTAGATCTAAACAGACACATTTTCAAACAAGCCGCTAGAAAACAGTATGGGTGCAGCCTCCTCCCCTGAACACTTACAGTTGTTGTTGTTTTTCCCCTGTGTAACTGTACGCTACATAAGTGCAGTTGGGTTTGACATTACATCACGGCTTGCTTTTATTCACACTGAAGAAGAAGCTGTGGAGGTGCTGTGGAGGTGCAGTGTAGCTCAGCGGGGGGGGGGGGAAGGCCTTAGGCAGGCTGCCGGTGAGGAGCCTGTTCACAAACACAGCTTCCACCACTGGGCTGCCTCTCCACATATCAGCGCCTCGCTTTCCTCATGTTAAAAATGCATCTGAGCAGCTGTGGTCTGGAGAAGGTAAAATATGAATGACAGCCTGGAGTAAACCACCGCTCTACAGACACTCACCCTGAGCACAGACACAACCGGCAGGCAGTGACGGAGCACAGGGGGCAAACTAAAGTGATTAGTGACGTCACAACACAATGAGATCAATTACATAAGGATTGAACATGTGGGACACGTCGTAAATAGGCCTCTGCTGGTTGTTTACCCCTAGTGTAAAATAAACTGGGTCACATCTGCATGCACTTTGAACCTAGGCTGCATTTGATGACCCAAAGGTTTTTCAGAGTATGATTCATTCAGAAAAAGAAAAGAAATTCACACCATTTGGGCATACAGCATAATATAATCCTTTATTTCATAATTTGGCGAAATGGTGCCTTCAGTAGGCCAGAACAGAACATATACATAAAACTCCCCGCAGTGAATACAATCCACATTCCCTTCGACTTCCTCCTCTCCTCTCCTCTCCTCTCCTTTCTGCTCATCTCTGCTGGTTCCCCGCTCAGAGGAGGAAAGCCACTGCCAGGGAGGTGATGATGGACAGGCCAATAACTGTGTAGCCCGTGCGGTAGACCTCTGGGATCCTGAAGCCTTTGCCAAGGTCCCAACACTGATTTAAATAATAATAAACAAATAGGAGAAAAGAGAGAGAAGATCATTTAGTATAACACCACCATCATCTTGTCAATCTTGGCAAAAGTAATACATGTCTTATTAAATCAGTCGAATGAAAGAACATGATCAAAAATGAAAAATGTGATTCTTTAGCTAACACCAAACAAACTACAAGATATAATCATGGTATAAATGGTCTTACCAAGTGGCGGATGCCGTTCAAGGTGTGGAACGATACTGGGAAGGCGAGGCCGAACTTGGCCAACCCGATGAGATAGGGGCCGACGGACAGCGAGTGGATCAAGTCCAGGTAGTGGGGGTAAGTTCCCGGTAGTACCAGCGCAGCCAAGGCGAAGGCGGAGATAGCTAGACACAGACAGAAGTAATGAGACCAGAGATCAGACAAAGTGTGCATGTGAATGGGTGAGGAGCATGCATGCCTTTTGGAGAGAAAGCGATGAGTAAGAAATGTCAATGAACAACATCCTCATATTGCTGGATTAGTCTGCATGAGTCACCGCAGCACCAGACCCCACTGGACACAGTCATTCTGTAAACATCCCACTTATGTAAAGACCCTTTTATACCCTGCTGACTAAATGAAATGAAGGCCAATAAATGGCTGTGTATAAAACTGTCTCTTCTGTCCATTAGAATGAACTCTACTAAACGGTTCTGACTCAGTTCCTCTTGCTGTGGCAAAGGGGAAATGTTCCTTCCTCATTATTGCAGGTGTGAATCAATGGAAACACACAAGGCAGAGTCGCACAAGGCAAACATGAATTACATATTTCAATAACCTTTAAAATGATAAATTGAATTCATTCAGAATTGTAATTCCTTATGCAAAAGGGCACTTTAAGAAGGCAGCATATTCATTCACAAACACAAATCAATATGTGTTGAAAAGCTCACAGCAGGTCCTATTTATTGCAGAAAGTAGATTGGAGTTTATAAGCACATGTTGTGTTTGGATAAAACAAGACATCCAGTATTGAGGAGTGTTTATTGGCAGTTGAGGGTGCTGACCTTCATTGAACCCATTAACATGTAAACTAAATTGGCAGAGCTTTTACAGCCGGGTACATCAAGGTCATAAGTAGTGATGTAGGATGTCATGGAAACACAGCCTGGACACCAAATGAATGAAAGCTGTTAGCTGTCCAGTATTTGTTTTGATGTTCTCACGCAAAAGCTTTTTTAAACGCTCTCAGCATTAATCAATAGCGAAGGTCTAAAATGCCCTGAAGAAATGG